GATTTACCACAAGAGTATTCGGTGGTTGAGCCTGGGCAAAATCCTAAAACCAGTTTGGGAATTACAGAATGAAATCCTTCACTTTCTAGACATAAAGGGGATTTCATGTGATTTTGTGATCAAAATGGGATGTGTGAAGAGTGAAGGACATTTGAGATGATGTTTGCAGCTGATATGTTTGAGAAAGTAAATGAATTGAGTTGCAGGGAAGGGGGCTATGAAATCTTGAAGCATGTGAGATCATTCAAAACAAAACTAAGTCCATTTGCAAAGCAAGTAGATGAGGGCGAGTTTTGTCATTTCTCTTTATTTTAGGAAAACAGAAAGTGCCTGTAAATGTTTCTTCCAAGATTAGGGGATCATTTGCCAAGTTTAGAGGATCAGGTTACAAGAAGATTTCAGGACTCCTAGAAAATTGAACCTGAATTCAATTTGCTATCTTATCCTTTCACTGATGATATTGATACAGTACCTGAGGATGTGCAGGGTAAACAAGCAGTTAAATCACACGCTGAAAGAAATGTTTAATTCTGTGACATTGATAGAATTTTACAAATCACTATCTACTGACAAATTTCCATGTGTATAAATTTTGAGGATCTCAACAAGCAACCTCATTCCTGATTTCAAAAGAATTGTAAAAAAAAGTGTGAGCGTTTATATTTATTTCATTAAATTACTTGTGTTAGTTGATACGCAATTTGCACATAAATAAATTTAATGAAACCTTTTCTGTGTACCACTATTGTTTTAGTTTTATTTATTATTATTATGCAATCTACACTTCGCACTAAATGAAATGTAATGTTAACTAATGAATATGTTTCAGAAGGTGCGACCCTCCGCTAATCACGGCCCTCTCAAAGGGGCCACCGAGCCAAAACAATTGTCCACAAGACGTATCACGTGTCCCCTCCATGGGAATCCATACTCTCCAGTTATACAGTACGTGTGAGTAGCAATTATATAAATTTAAACAAATATTTACTTTAATTTATAAACACGACCAATTAAACGTAAATAAACTTATTTCAGCAAACAAAAATCGATGGGACATGTAATATAAGGACATTGAAATCCTTAGAGATTTAATATATATATATATGTATATATATTTGGTTTATTCAATGCTATTTTTGTGGCTGATGCTAATCTGCGTTTTTTTTAATAACTGGCTTCGTAATTGTCAACGCTAGATGAAGAGCATCTCTTTTTAAACTGTCAAGACGGGTACGAGCTTTTGACAATAAAACCAATGGCTAAAGCCAGATTCAACATGTTCGAAAACTTTGCTTTCACTCATAGTAGATATTTCTTGGCAGTCTCTTTACGTTTCCATAACAAAATTTAAAACTAGCTGAATTATTTTGTCACTCTGTAAATTCAACGAGACTGGACTGTAAAGCAAAGTCGATATCAGCAGCATTAACTTCAAAAGGAATCGTCACCCAAACAAGCAGATTCAGCTCTAGTAGATCACTAAACCAAGACGGCATATCTTCGTGAAAATCATTTTCAGATGTTCAGCATACGCAGCAAGGTCATCATCGTGAAGTTTTTTTCTAATTGAGGTCAAACATGGAAACAGCTTTAACGGCCTACGTTCAAGATCATTGCTTTATTTTTCAAAAACATGATATAGATATATGAATTGAAACCTAAACCGGTACACTGTATCTTTCAACAACTAGCCAAATCACACCACGTGTTTCGATTTTAGTTTGCGTCAATGTGAACAAAAACTGGAAAATCCCGGTGTATGTTTACAAGAGAACGGAAGATGAAAATATTACCACAGCGGAAACAGAAAACAAATCCTTTTCTCAATAATTTGGTTAGGTAGGTAGCACTTAGGACATCTTCGATATTACTTGTCTTCTCTCACGACAGACCAGATCTTCACTTCGGCCAGCGAAAATTCATCGGCTTCCGATTCAACATCTCTCTTGCTCTAATTCTTGTTCACCCTCCTCCAACAGCTGGCTTGTAAGAGACTGCCGTTCCACCACCCTGTACGGGTAGTTCGCATCTGACTTTCTGTTACCCATCATTATATAAGCCCACAAATAGAAATCGCTAAGTTCTGGCGAGTGACACTTGATCTTGAAAGTATTTATTTATTTGGTCTATGCTGGACCTACTTTTGGACAGCGAGTGGCTTCACTACTGGTCAGAAAACACCAGACACTTCAGATTCAGACAAAATCATTTAGTTCACCTAACTTCGTGGGCATTCTAATGGCATAGATATTACTCAGGTATGCTTTTTGCATTAGAAGATGGGAAAATAATATTCCCATGTTATATAGTTATCAGGTTAGCACTTATAAAAAATGACTGAAATTTTAATAATATGATTTATACTTTTACACAATAATTTGGATTTAATAAGCCAATATGGCCAAGAATCCATTCTGTCAATGTTGTTTTATGCAGTTTTTCCAGGTACATAAAATAAACTTTCTTTTTAAAAAAAACCCAAACATTCCATGTAATTATTAACCCTTTAAAGTTGGTAACGCTAAAATACATCTGCAAGTTTCTTTCTCTTACTGTACAACAGCACCTGAATGGACCAATAACTGGATGGCACTGTATTTCAATTCACACTTGTCACATGATCAACTAGAAGTACTTTTACAAAACCCATATTTTATAACCAGTAGCACCAAGGTGTCTAAATTTGATATCATTTGAAAGAGAAATCATATAAAATCCACTTGTAATACATGATTTTCAACATTTTTTGAGATTTAATTGCAATTTAACATCACATATTCAGGTTTTCAACAATTCAACTCCAGGAATAAAATCTCAGTCTCATAGGGTTAAGTAGAATAAATATATCTTTAAGTCATTTTTATACAGCAAGTTTGGTGAGAAAAGCCTTTTCTTTCAAGAACTTAAAACCCCTTCACCATCATCCAATCTAAGTAGAAATTAGTGGCACAAAACAGTCTATTAACTGATGGTATGCATTCATGAAAAATGTGTAAATTTTTATGGATAGGGATATTTGAATTTTTTTTCCTCATACAACCATTAAGACCAAGGAGCCTGTAATTGACAGTTACCAGTCTGTGAAAAGTACATTTAATCATTGCTTAAGAAATACTGCAGTTCTTATTTGAATTAATTTGCTTTTTACATCAGATTTACAACAGGAAAAATCATACTTATTATAAAACCCAGGTTGTGTGTGTGTGTGTGTGTGTGTCTGTCTGTTTGTTTATATATTGGATCGGATTTCCTACATTTTTCAACCGATTTCAACAAAACTTCACAGGACTACGTAAAATTATCTTGCGGTGGTTCTGACAGTGCCTAAAATTGGAAAAACAATTGTTTTTGCACAAAATCAATTTGAAAACAATGATTAAGAGGCATCGCTGTTGCGAGAATGAAAGGGGGACAACTCATATCGAGTTATACTTATAAAAACTCAGGTTGTTTGTTTATATATGGGATCAGATTTCCTACATTTTTCAACCGATTTCAACAAAACTTCACTTTTTTCTTGGCAGGTAGTGTTTCTTATTGTCTTGCACACTTTTTTCTTTATTTTTACATTCAGAATGCTTTAAAAATTCCATTTACAAGGCACTTGTTTATAATAAAATTCTATTCAATCGATAGACTCATAACGAATGAAAACAATGTTTTTGTTTGAGTTTGACCAATTCGTAAAAAAAAAAAACAAAAACAAAAAAAAATAATTAAGACATGTGTGTCCGTCAACCTTAATAATCTTTCTCAATTTTATTTTTCAGTCTTTATGATGATCGATACTTGATCTATCTCTTACTGTTACATCCCTGGGCAACGCCGGGCTCTACTGCTAGTATACAAATAAAATAAAGTTTACAACCTGAATATAATTCACCAAATGTCTGTCTGTCATAGCAGAACTCAATCTATGACCACCAAATTTTCTACATTTACTAACAAAACTCTGGAGCATGAGTTTAGTTTAGCTGTTGAAAATTTAAAAACTTTTTCTTTTTGTTGCAAGGTTTGATTTACAATGTAAGTACAATGCTAAACTGGACTGTTACTTTGTGTACCTCAGATTAACTAAAGCAAATGTTTACCTTTTTGTTTAAATAGACACCTAGCGACTGTAAAAAATATTATTCAGTTTACTTTTATATTGGCAATGGTCATCAGAGAACCATAAACATTAACCTATTAATATTAACTCACAAAACCATAGTTTAATGTTATGCCCATTTTTAGTGCTTCATCAAAAAGTGGTAGGATAAATTTATGGTCAGTTTACCAGCAAATTTTCAAGTGAAGCACCAAAAAAAAAAAAAAAAAAAAAAAACTACCTAGAAATCCTATTCTGAATAGGACAGGATGGTTTCAAGAAGTGATAGCACCCTCTCCTTAGGTGAAGAAATTAGGAAAAAAATTAGCCCAAACTCCCAATTCATCTAGGCTGCTTATTATCATCATCATTATACTTAATGATGATGATAATAAGTTTATTCAGACAAGTATCCTTGTCTTGGTTGCAATCACAATATTTTGCTCATTGTATATTCTTCGTTTTATTTGGTAATGTTTTTAGAAATTTGATTATGTTCACACGTGTAGATTGTTCTTATTTCACTCTCTATGAAAGAACGTATTCTCTTTAATTCTCCCTTGTGATGCAGTTATTGCTTTTCTATTGTCTTAGAGATTCAACTCCTGATCACCAACCAGATTTTAGCCACTGTAGGAAAAACTGTCTCTAATAGAAAGACTATGAAATCAGAACTGACTGATCCCAAATGGAGAAAAAAGAAAGTGATTGCCACAAAATTATGAAATAAAATCAGAATAATAAAGACTAAATAATCCCGACCCATTAACCCCATCAGCAATTAATTAGGAAAGAACAGGCATTCATTTCAATGCTCTATAAAGTTTAGAAAGGTAAAGTTTTATTTTGTCCAATTTTCTCACTATACTTACCAGATTTCAATAGTTAAAATAGTTTTATGATGCATTTCTCAAAACAGATGGGAGTATAAAAGAATATGAGGTATTTGAGAGAGAGAGAGAGAGAAAAAAAAAATAGATTGAATACTGTTTGATAAGGCAAAAAATAAAAAAAATACAAAGCATTGTGTCAAGTCTCAGAATGGTTTGTTGGCATACTTAAAAAAAAAACAACAAAAAAAAAAACAAATATTTATTGTTAAAATTTTTCTGAAATTTCACAATCTGAAAAAAAAAAAAAAAAAAAAAAACAAAAACAAAAAAAAAAAAAAAAAAAACAACAAAAACAAAAAACAAAACATCAATTACTTTTTTCTAATTTTATTATCCATAAGTGACAAGAACTTGATATAATTTGATTAATATAGCCCAAGCCAGGGAGTAATGAATGACACCACTTTTAGGAAAGATAACTGGTTGTTGGCAGTTGTCTGTTACAATCGAGAACCACGATTATCTCGTCGAGCTAAAAAAAAAAAAAAAAAAAAAAAACAAATAAAAAAAAAATAAAAATAAAATAAATAATATGACAATACAGAAACATTGAGTTGTTTGAACAATTAGAAAAATATACATTTGCTTAAATTCAATGCAGAAAATCTCTTTAAACCAGTGCAATAAAAAAAAAAAAAAAAAAAATCATTTTAAATTCCCCATTTGTTGTATACATTGTTCTTACATTTTTGGTAGTAAGGATTAACTTCATTACCCAAAACCTTTACATAAGTAATATTATTGTTTTTATAAGTATAACAGCAATTTTTTTTTTATCTTAAACTGATCTCAAAATATGAGCAAAAAAATAAAATTTAAATTTATGACAGACTATAGTATTTCAATTTCTGCTTTAATCTATTTAGCAGAGAAAATTAATTTGAAGTTTACAGTTAAACACATGCATTATATACTTGCAAGATATAATTGTATTTTTTTTTTATTTTCCCTTGAAAACAATCTTTTGATTTGAAAGAAGGTAAAGAAATTATTCATATACAATCCTTAAAACTTAAAAAAAAAAAGCTAAAAGAATCAAAATTTATCTGGAGAAAATTAAACTAAAGAGTGATTGAAAAGTAATTCCCTATTTTATGTATGAGTGGCCAGCCAGGAGTCCTGACTTAACAAGTCATGACTCCTGGCTGTGTCTTTTTTCTTTGGAGGTCATTTTAAAGAGCAAGTCTACTATAGCAAATCAAGATTTATTAAGAATTTGAAGGGCAAATATACAAAAAGTTCTGTCTTCTATACCACAAGATTTCCTGGCGAAATCACATGACATGATTCCTGGATGGCTTGAGAAGCTGGTAATGAAATCTGGTGCCCACATTGAATTTTAAATAAAACCTCATGCTCCTCTCATATCCATTTCTTGTAAAAATTATAGTTAATAAATAAATTATAAGTATTTTAAAATGGGGAATAAATTTTCAACCACTCTGTACACTAGAAATAATATCAAGAAAAAGTAGCAACTTTTAAATCAGGAGAACAGGTTCTAAATAATAAAAAAGTAGCAAGTTTTAGAAAGAGTCGGTAGTAGCAAAAGAAAGACAGTTTTTGAAATTTAAAAAAATAAAATAAAAACAAACTAAAAGCTATTATTTTAAAATAGATACCAAGTGAACTCCCCAAATAAGTGGGGCAGTTTTGTGCACAATGAAAATGACTTACAAAGATAAAAAAAAAAACAACAGCCACAAAAAGACTAAAAGAAAACCACAACAATAGGGGGTTAGTGAAAATGTAACGTACACTTGTTGCCCCACTGATCCCTATCTCTATTCTTCCAATTGTCTCTCTTGTCATTCCATTGTTGATTATAATCATTGTGATTACCCCATTTGTTGGAATCACGTTTATTCCATTGCTGATCACGCCTTCCCCATCTATTCATCTGTTGATTACCGTCATAGCCTGAAAAATAAACATCAATCATTTGGAACATTTTGCACTTCTGCAAAAATATTACAATCATTCTTGTAGCTTCTCTACTATCAGTGGATTAGGTTTGCTGAAGAATCTAGCATCAAAATAGGTTTAGAACCTATTATTTTAATCAGTTTTCATTCAAAGTCCTTTTAATTTAGTCAATATTTATGTTTGCATCCTTAGCTTTCTTCATAGATATTCCTTCCATTTTGGAAACCATTTCATTACAGAGGAAATCATTATATATATATATATATATATATATATATATATATATATATATATATATAAATACTACTGCTTTGTCTAGCATAAAACAAGAAGGATAAAATAAGCTTGACATTTAGCATGCATTTTTTTTTTAATTCTATTAAAATCATAAGATGAATCTCTTAATTTGCAGGTTAAAATTTGCAAGAAAACTAAAGATTGATTTCAGCACTTACCTCCGGTCTTGTAGTAGTTCAAGGCTGGCTTATTCTCTAAAATGCGCTCATTGTTCTCAACAAGATTAGCCACCTTTTCCGCTAACTGCAGGGCCAAAGACTGAAGGCGGGTGGGCTCTGTGCGATGCATCACCACAGTTTGGGTTGGTTCATCTAATGAAGCCTACAATATTATTGTGGGCATATAAAAAGCATTAAAAAAGCTTGCAAATAATTAATTTGACCTATTTTTAGACATTCTAAATATTTTTCACATTTTTTGATTTTCCAAAAGTAGAAACTCTTTCATAAATAAACTGAACATCTTTCATTTCAATTACTTTAAATCAAAGGGGTCTATGAAAACAGCAATCCATAAAAACATTAAGTATTAGTGATTGGATTTTAACTGGGAAAATTAATAAAGGTTTCTGCCTGTCAGATGATAGGACTATATGATTGGTACCTTTATAAATTACCTATACTTTGGTTAGGGAAAGGGAAAATTTCAGTGCATTTTTTATGTAAAATTCTGTTATAATTTCAGTTTCACTAGGAGGAAAATAGAGGTTCTGATTCTGAAATCACCTAATCACTTTAATGTGAAGATTTGAACAAATAATATTGAAAAGATTAACATTTGTTCACTTCTTATAAATATTTAATAAGTCAGTTGCCTGTATGTCAGCTAACTTACCATTAGTTCTTCATTAATGATCATTTTGCTGATAATAGAGTGGACAACTGCTGGCTCCAACTGAAACATCTCACTGAGTGTAACCATACTGAGGGTATCATATACACTGCTGTATGTGAACAAATATGTACGCAGACTTTCCTCTTGAATCTTCTGGGTAATTAAAGCGCGTACTTTGTCTGCCTGCAGAAACAGATCCCAAACCTAAAATAAAAAAAAATATTCACTTAAATTTGGATTTTAAAATAAATTGTTGTGCAAAAGGTTGGGTGGGCATTTTTAAAAACTATTTACAATGATGGTCACCTTGTACAATGCCCAAGAGCTATTCAGAGTAAGAGGCACAATTTATGAGCATATGTGGGGGAGATTATGGTTTGACAGATTGCTGTGATTGGGAAAGCATCCTCTTTGGAGGTATTCCACAAAATAGCAGTTTGTGAGGAGCTGCTGCTCAAGTGGAACTTACATCTCTCAAAGGGTGGTTTGCTACAATGTGCGTCTTAGCTGTGAAGGTCTTAGCTGTGAAAGATTAGACCTGGTGGAACCAAATGATCGGAGTATACACTTCAGTAGCTCATTTATGTAAAGTAGAAAGTAAATTGAACAAAGTTTTTGCTGGAATTTTTCCTGGGTTATAAAACTACATTTAAGAAAAGATTTATATCCAAGATTAGGGCAACAGTTTTGGAGACAGTATGTGTTTGAAGAAGTCTGAGAGAAGAGCTTCCACTATGTAAAATCAGAAGCTGTTTGTTCCAGTGGTCTTTTGTGTACCAAAAAATCATTCTTTGATTAGGCATTAATTTTGACACTTATGAACCAAACAGGGAGAGGAGAAGCATTTTGTCAGAAGAGATCAAGGTTTGCCTGATGTCCTGTTGCATTAGGAACACAAGAAGGTTCATCAATAATCTGTCCCAACTTGTAGGCGATGGAGAAGTTGCAGTACATGATTTCTTTGTTGATTTTGTTCAAGTGGACCAACCACTTGTGAATACTGAAGTCACTATACAAATATGAAAGCTAGCTGAGGGAAGCCCAGTGAGGATATTATCAATTGCCTTAGCTATTTGGTTGAACATTAGTTCCATCATTCAATGGAGAGTGAAAATGAAGTGGCACTGCAAACAAGTGCCACACACAAGATACGGGAGATCAGGGTCCTTGCTTATGGGGATTCTGCCACATGGGAACCCAACCTTAATATAGGTCATGGTGATTTTGATGGTCATGCTTTGCTATTAGGGGTGAGTAGCCCATGATTGCTAGTTCCTGCACTGGAATAGATGGATCAATACCAGTTTCAGACAGGGATAAGAGGTCAGGTTTGGCATCGAGAAGATGGAGATCCACCTATGGAAAGTTGGTAGAGACCACTTACATGAGTGTTTAGTGTAAGAGATGGTGAACTTGGGGTCTACTTTTGTTTTCATTTTGTTTTGGTCATGTTTAGAAATCCGTGTGTTTGGGTAAAGAATAGGAGGTGAGATAGTGATTAACAAGAGAGAAACTAGAGATAATAATGAAACTATTTTGCTAAGGAAGATTTGAACAAATATGTTTATATTCTGCAAAATAATTTTCAGTTTTACTCAGTTTGAAACGCTTATATGAAATATACAAGTCAGATGAAGTAAATGTAAGAATTTGAATGGCTAAGTTTTATAATACAAACCATATATAGTGACAAAATTTGAATAGTAAAAAGGGTAATGTAATCTGCCCTCAATTATAATTCTTTTCCAACTGAAATGAATGATGAAAATATACTGTTAAATAAAATGATATTTTTACCAGCAATGGAAGAATACACATTTTTACTCTTGTCTGGTTATAAATATCAGAGCAAATAAGAGTTTCTCAGTGTCATTGATACAATACCACTCAATTATGTGATGTGAAATATGTTAGAAGATAGTACAACAATTATCTTTGAGAAATATTAAATCCATATTCATGTAAAATGTCCTTTTCTTTAGTGATTTAGAGACAGTAGATTATTAAATTAGTGTAAAACCATTTGTAGCAAAGAAACGTATCCCTGATGTCCTAAATCAAAGCAATCAATGTTGGCATTTGGGAAAAAAATATCCAAAATATTACAAAGGTTCTTGGAGAAAACAATACATGATGATTCAAAATAAAAATGTTGAATCATCCAAACATTTGCTCATTAGAATAGCAAAAATATTGATAAAAATATTTTCACCTTTCCATTCATCTTTTCATTGATGACAAAATTTTTACAAGCTTCCCAGTCACCAGTTTTCATGGCCTTTGAAGCAGCCACAATGTGTTCTCTCATACTTTCTGGAGGTCCAGTCAGTGTTTGTCTCTCACTGTTTCGAAGTAGATTATGATAGTTTCTGCTGATCATACGTCTCCTAGCATCAAATTCATGAGCTATTAAAAAATAAAATAAAAATGCATATAAAACAGAAAATTATCTTTGTGTCAATTCACAAAATGGTTTTCAATATAACTGGGAAAATTAGTATTATATTTGAAATGTGTTAAAAATTTTCAATAATTCTCGTCTTTTATACTATAATTTATACCAACTGATAAGCTGTCTTAATTCACCTGTAAAAGTTTAAGCAATATTGTGCCTATTAAAATAGTGGTTAGTTATAAATATTGAAAATAATGGAGGAATTTTTTTAAAATTTATTTTTATCAAAACAATTATTTTTATGTGTTTCTTAGGAAGCACTTGAGCCTGAAAACAATAAAAGAGAATGGACATCAGCAAAAATATTCACTATAATAATAATAATTATATGATAAAAACTTAATATAAAAGTATACCTGTACACTTCTTGAAATTTTCAATTATGCTAATTATAGTTCAGCAAATTTAAATTTGTTTACATTTTAAATTAAATTTTAATATCAATTTTTGTCAAAAAACATACATATTCATAGGACTAGAAGCACTGGACGAAGATTTATAAAACCTTTCACTAATTTTATAAATAAAATTTTTAAGAATTATATTTGAATAGATTCTGAGTAAACTGGTGAAATATGCAGTGTCATAGATGAAATGACAAAAGACACTTGAGAGTATCTTGTTGAAGTCATCTGACTGTAAGAAGTACATTTTAAAAAGCATGATTCTCCATTCAGAAGATATAACAGACAATTTCAACAGACAATCTCAAGCTAGTGTAAATATTTTGCTTTTTTAAGAAGTACTTGCCAATAACATTTCCCCGACATTTGTAGGTCCAGTGATGAAGATAAATTTTGGCCTTTATATTCTACCACATAAAAAAAATTGATTACAATACAATTGTTAATTAGGAAAATTTCTCTTGCTTGTTTATATAATTTAAAACTATTCATTTCAATGATCACTGATCAATTTTGTCACTGAACTGAATATTGAAAGAAAATTAATGTATACAGTCTTTAATTAGAAAAATATTGCGTCATAGGTTGAATATTATGTTAAATGGATCCCCATACCCCTCAGGGATAAACTCATCTAGCATCTATGCCATCCAGGATTCCCACAGATCTGTGGGAAAGAAATTCCTGGACTTTTCCAGAACTATGTTAAGAAGTTTCAAGGACTGAAACTAGTACATGCATACACACGTACAAAGTGAGTGGTCATCAATTTCAAAAACACCAATTTTGTGATTTATCTTTTAATAGGTTGACAGATGAGATGTTCAAAGAAAAGCTACAGCTGGTGCCAGTAATTCATGTCACATGGATCAGTTTAAAGCTGTGAAGAAATAAAAGTGTTGAAAGCTAAAACACAACTGAATGCAGACTTGGTTATGTTACACATTTTGTGTAACTCAGGCTTGTCCATGAGAGAGTACCAGCAATCTTCAAACAACTTTGCACAATTTTTGATATTCTTTGTTGCTAGATAAATAGTAGAACAAAGTATCCAGACTGTCTTCATGCTTGCTGATATTCTTGAAAGCAAAATTTCCCAACATCCTCCTTCTCAAACTCTTTGTATTGAGTGATGGTGTCAACACAATCAGACTTGCTGATTTGTTTTCTGTCCATCATGTGGGAAAGACATCTTTTTATACTGTCTTCTGTAGCATTTTTTTTTTTCACAAATGGATCCTGGGTTCAGCCATGCAAGTGACTTTACAAGAGGGCATCTAAGAGGAGACTTTGCCAAAAGTTTCTTAATGATGGTGATGAACATTGTTGCAATTCTGCATGCAAACAGATCTTTTGCTGACATTTCCTTTTTTGGATAAATTTTGCATAGCCTGCCAGAAATCCACACACGATCTATGCAGCATCTTTATGCTATGTTTGGATTTGACAAAATTCTTACAAATTTATTTAGTTTGGTAAATGTAATTATCTTTTTAGTGTGTTTTTCCTTTACAAATCTTAACAGTTTCATAATCATCTGCAAGGAAAGGAAGCAATGGTTTATTGCTCTATTTTATCAGATATAGTTCAAAAAAGGGTCACACAAAAATCTGCAGTTTCACTGGAAATAAAACGCCATTCATGTTTGACAGCACTGCAGAGGAGGACTTCGCCAGGGGACATTTTTCTGTTTTTAAGTTAACAAATTTGATGACATTTGACCAAATGTCTAGGAGTCATTCAGGTTTGTACATTTTCTAGCCATCTATGGCAGAAATAAAAAAGTAAAGAGACAGGGCTGTTAGATTGAACTTTTATGAAGCCAAACAATAAAAGCCAAATGAGTTTTAATATATTTCATCATCATTTTTTTCACTTACAACAAAAGCTAGAGATACAGGTCATTATTAGCCTGCAAACTTTAAAAATAACATTATTCTTATTTTTTCAAAGATGCATTTTCTATCCTAAGACACATTTTTGATTCTATCAACCTTTCAGTCTACATTTTCTTTGAGTCAAATTTTATTCTCAAACTTGTTACTTTTGGCAACAATTTAGACAAACGTAGTTTACACAAACATGGGAAGCATAAAGTATCTACTTTTTCATCATGAACTTATCCACCACTGAATAGAGATCAAAAGGACCTTTTATTTTGAAATTAACATGTAAATAAAATTTCTTCAGTTGTTCAAATTTGGAAAAAACTGATGTTTCGAGATTCTACTAAAATGTATTTTATTACCATAAAATAATTCATTATTTTCCTTTCAACTACAAATTCAAAGAGTGTGAATTTATCTTTGACAGAGATGTTTACTTGTCTCTGATGCATTTTATCTTTGCTGTTCCTCTATTCTTGTTGAGTAAGGGTAGCAGCTAAGAGAAGACACACCTTCATTTTCTTTCTCCCTTACTTTCTCATCACCTAGATGTTAAAATACTGAAGTCACTACAAGGTCAACCTCCTTCTAATCAAAGGAAACAAACTACCATTTGCAACAATTGTCAACTGATGACTAAAAGACATTTTTTTCTTCTTAAAAGCACAATTAAATTTGATTTTCATGAATTGAGAAAATGGATGTGCATGCAGTCCAATTTAAAAAATTCCATGATTTTCAAGCCTTGGAAAAGGCCCTGTCAATTTTCCAGGAATTTTCAAAGTTTCCGGGACCTGTATGAACCCTGGACATCATTCTGTCCCCCTAACATAAAAAAGAATATGTTTTTAAATTAGTATAATTCTGTACTGATAATATTTCATCAATAAATATGGATACCGAGTTTTAAACTTTATAATTAGAAATGCATGTCAAATCTTCAAAAGCAAATGTTTGTTAAAAAACATTGTCCAGTGACAAAAAATGCAAGTGCTTGTTAGCTTACCTGCCATGTATGGAATTTCAATCAACATAGCAGAGACTAAATAGACACATTCAAGCAACTCCAGATTGATGTGCATGTGGTAAGGCATTTGACGCCTTTTCTCAATCAGTTCTTGTTCTGGAGTTCGTTCATGTTGCCTTTGCAATAACAATCCCTGAAAAACAAATCATCTCATTAAACTTTGTCTAATTTTTGTTCTAAACTAAGAAGTGTAGAATTTTTAAGGCTAAAATTAATTTCAAATCTGTACTGTCCTGAATTTGTCAATTTTACATAAGATAAATTTTATTTCTAAATTTATTTGATTCTATCTGAGTGAGAAAAGAGTATTTGTGATAAAGAGAAAATAATTTACCTGAGAAAGTAATTCTTTTGCCCGTCCAATTGACTGGATATCAACCAAAGCATTATGGGCGTCTTTAATCATTCCCTGACGGAAGGCACACAATCCAAGTTGCACCATTGTACGATTGTATTGGATCTAAATAGCACCAACAAATTATAAGACCAACAATTACTAAAATGTGTATTACTACATAGTGTACAATATATAATAAAATTGCAAACATTCTTTGATAATTTTGTTTTATAAATCTAAATGTCACAAGTTGGAACATAACAGAAGAAAAATTCAAACGTTTACATTTTATTGCTTTATTTGTAAATATTCTTTTTTTAAATTGACATGTATACTAATGAACTTCACTGACTGAAAGAATTATACTACTAAAATAAAAATAGTAAGTTTCATGTTGGAGCTAAAGACATGAATCATAAAATATCTAATATTAGAAATAAAAATTATAACCTCAACAGAATATTAAAATATGTTCAGATGACAGTGACATAATTATTAGTGACAACTGAGAAAAAATAAAAGCATATGAAAATGAAGTGTGAATTTCACCTGGGTGGGTATGTCAGAATGTTGAATATTGTCTTGCAAATGAGACATCATCATGAGGTCACGGGCTTCATACCAGCGATTATGTATGGCATGGAAGTAAATATGGTACAGAATGGCATGGGTTCTCAGACGGTCAGTTGAGTCCTTTACATAGATGTACTTGCATAATTTGTCCATTGTATCTCTGCATTTAATGCCAGCATCAGTCTGAAATAAGATATGAAGGGACTTAGGTTTTTATCAACCAATTTAATAACGTAACTAGAAAATTAATAAAAAGCAAATCAATTAATAATGTAATAATTGATTTGTTGTATAATACCTTTTACCCTACAGAGAAAATGATAATGCTATAAATAGATAGTTGCATATAGTATGAGGCTGTGATCACTGGTGTCTCACTATGTAATAACACTTTTTGCATTCTTTTACATAAAGTTCTCTAAAAGATTTACTTATTCAGAGATGTGAGAAGATTTGTTTAAAAATTTATTACAAGTAGAAATGAATCAACTGTTGTTCAAATTGCATACAAAAACAATAGCTTGACAGCCATTATTTTCTACTTGGGTAAATGCAATGTAACATTTATTCATTTAACAAAAAAATTAAAAAATTAAGTAACAAAAGCTTATCTGACAATTATATGTTTCTCTAGAAAAGTCAATTATCCTTGTATGCATAAATGTATTCACCGATTCAACAATTTCAATGTCGCAGTAAATGATTCAATTTACAAGTTATGATTTTTAGTACAACTTTAGATAAAGACAGGAAAAAGATAATGAAGCTGATTGATATTTTTAATAAAGCTATTACTAGATTACCTTGTAGTACATATGTTCAATTCTTCTTAAGTAACACCTGCAGAGTTCCTTGGTTGGAACTTGGTTGTTTTCTAAATAAGATTGGAGCTTCTCAATGATTTCACAAACAGTACGCTCATCCTTAAGCCTACAGATGAAATAAAAAAATAAAAAATAAAAAGATAAAATTATTATTTTTCCTCCCTCAATTTAAAAAAAATAAATTAAATGTCTAATAATGTCCCCAAAACATTTGAAGACAAACTCTACAAGAGTACACACTTCAAATATATTAGAATGATGCAAATTTTTCAACATTTTTTGGATAAAATCTTTATATTCATATAAAGTCATATTATCATTATTAAAAATAAAATCTTATATTCATATAAAGTCATATCATTATTCTGTTAGTATTTTTCTTGACTCTTACTAACCTTACCACTTATTTTTGGATTTTATTTACAAAATAAAATAAAAACACAATTTTCCAAATGAATTGAAGAATTTTTAGATTTTAAATTTATTGGAACTGTGTCAAAATTTCCCTACAGTATTGTATAGTAATAATTCATTCAGATTCTAGCAATTTGTAATAAAGAATTCCCTTTGAATTCTGGGAATACCAGGTGCTGTAAGCTTGGATGTGCAGATGGTGTAATGGATAATGGCTTGGAATTGTTAATCGTAAAGCAAAGAAAGTTCTGATTCCAGTTGGGTTTGTTATATTCACTTATATGGTGGTTTCATACCTTAAGAAAAGTATGAAACTACCTCTCCCCCAGCTATGGGTTAATTAGTAAAACTTGTGTGAGTAAATCATTATCTCACCCAAAACATTCTTAAAATCTAAAAATATTTTTTGGCTTTAAATAATCTAGAAAGAGTTGATAAGCCATAGAAATCAAATCAATCAAGGTTTGAATTCTCCCAAACAAAGAACTTTTCCCTCCAGTGTGAACCTTGGTCATTAACTACATCCAACTAGTCATGATAGTCATCTTAGTGGGAGTTACACATACATATTCTTTTTCAGCTGTGAAATAAATAGCTGTTAGATAATCAGAAACAAAGACTTTATTTAAATGTTGATGACCCAGATAAGGTTGAAATGACATATGTCCTAAGCATGTGGCTAACAACTACATGTGTCTCCAAGCAAAGATCATTATATTAAGTTTTCAAAGACAAAAGACAACTTTCATGCATCTTTCCAGAATTTTCTTATTAGGTTTGATTATTTGGCCAATCCAGATAATTTCGGATTTGATTTTTGGTCTGCAGTCAGATCAACTTATTTACACAATCTCTTGTATTACTAAGTATGGTCATTTTCAGTTGTCTGGCCAATTCCATATATGGATATAAATGTGATAAGATCAGTCACAAACTTACCATAAATTCCACATTTTTATTTATATATTTTTATTTTTATAACAAAATTCCTGCTAAGGGGAGAAAAGGATAAAAATTTCCTGTTAACTTTTTCAACTTGTCCAAAAGTGTCAGACAAATCCTACTTGCTTGTAAATTCTTACTACTGGGGAGTTGTTTGCATCTTGTCACACCGAGTAAATTCCATCAAAGTTGAGATGGCAAAGGCAGTTCAGGATATGTACATAATTATCTTCATCTTGGACTCTTTGTAAAAAATACATTTATCAATGTTCAAAAATGACCATGTCAAGCAAAAAGACAAATCTTTAAATGTTGACCAATGTTCCTTTCCACAAGTTAATGTGTAATTCACTTATCTAGCTTCTGAATTTTATCCAAAGCTTGGAAACAATTTACCAAAGTTGACTATTCAAGCAATAAAATGCTAAGTAAAATCAAAATGCATCAACAATATTGAGGTTTAAGAAAAAATATTAATGACCTTTTAGAACGTCAAATAAGATGCAAGGATTTTTTTTTTTTTTTTTTTTTTTAAATATATGCTAATTCTCAGTAGTGTTCATGATACAAATAGAACAGCAATAATGACTAACACTCTAGAATAGATTAGGTTTATGTAAAATTTAATAGTTATCTCTAAATCTTCTTTCCATTGTTGTGCCTCTTTATGTTAAAAGAAAGTTAGCAAAATATTTTCAAAAATCCTAACAAAACTGTAATGAAATAACTCATTGTTGCATTTGATTATTTGCAACAGGTATCATTTTGTATTGTCAAAATAAACCAAAAATAAATCTTTATTACCTGCAAATAGAATGTTCTTTTGCAAAATTATCAGTATTATTACATAATACTGACAATTTTGCAAAAGAACATTGTCAGTATTATTATAAAACAGTAAAGATAACATTTGATACATTAAAAGGCAAGTAAGAGTATTGAATTATAAAGATGTCATTTTGCATTTATTCACATGAAATAAAACTTACCGTTCAATATACTCAGTACTGTGAGGATCACATCCTTGCAGCATCTTTTTAAATTCTTCATCCATTCTCTCTACAATAGTTAAGATGCAACCTCGAACTCTATAAGGAGAAGTCTAAAAGAGGGGGAAAATAAATATCAATATTAGGATATTTACTATATGTCCGGGCATTCAGGTGTGTAAAAGAAAAAATATTCACAACATTATTTGGCCGAGTGATTATCTTAAGATAACCTAAAAAAGATAAAATTAATTGAAATAAAACTCAGTAAAATTTTACAAATCCACTGAAGTATTTAATTATTTAAGGTATCTTTTTTAAACTAGAAATTGACTTAAATAGTCAATTTAGGTGTTCAGTTTTTACATGTAAACATATCTTTAAAATACATTTTGATTAAAGTAGCAGATGTCTCATTAACACAAAAGTTTAATTTGAAAAGAACAGTTGTTTTCAATCTTCACTCAAGAAGAACTCATGACAATGTAGACTTCAAATAAAAAAAATAGAATCATGTTGGTAATTTTTAACTGTAAACCAATTATTCTAACATGGAAATCTTGTGTGTGTGTGTGTGTGTGTGTGTGTGTGTGTGTGTGTGTGTGTGAAGTTTTACAGTATGCTATATTTATGGGTAAGTGCTTAATATCAGAGAGAGCATATGTAAATGTAAAAGTGGACACTGTTTCATGCTTCAATAGAATCTCTAGGCTATTGAAGATTGTGTTCCAACATGAAGTAGACTCACTGCTTGGCATTGAACCCAGTGTCCACTTACACATACACACACACACACACACACACAATAGTATAGAGCAATATTCAAAGAACATCAGAATCAACAAGAAAAAAAAATATAGTAACCTCAACATTTTCACTGTCTTCTGGGATATTCTCACTGACCTGAATGTCAGGATTTTCTACTAAGTGATCAAGTTGTTTAATTACATAAGACAAGCAGCTGAAAAAATAAAAAATAACAGCGTATAACAATGAAATACAGTGAAATAAAGAAACATTTAAAGATTTCAAATGAATACATAAAATATTGGCAGTATTTCAAAGTGAATTAAAATTAAATGTATATTTCACAATTTTAAATTATGACAGGTAATAAGAGAATGTGAGGTAAATCTCATTAAATTTATAGCAGAATGCTGAAAAAATTTGTATAAATGAATAAAACTAAAAAGAAATTTAAGACAAAAGGATGCAAGAATATATCTTGAAAATCTACATTAGACATTCTAATATTGAAGACTAAAAAAAGTAAACTAATATAATGAAATTAAGAGATTGACTCACTTCTGCCATAGTTCTGGTTTCATATTTGTGGCAATGTTAGGATTGTAGTCATAAATAGCAGCTATAATAGAAAACATTATTTTGCAAGCCATGGCTGGACCTAGTTTGTTGTTCTCCGACACAACAAGAAGTTCTTCCAGAATGCCAATCATTTCACTACGATCAGTTGCCTTTTTGCCTCGAGCTGAAATAATCTCTGTCAGTTTTTTCATGACAGCCTCGTGATTGATTTCTGTGTCTTTACTGAACATTTTGGGTTTTTCCTGAAAGGATGGAAAAAATGCATCAGGTCCATAAAGATAAAATTTGACAGTCACAAATAGTTAATAATACATTTTATTATTGATTAAAACTACCACACCAAGAAATTCAGAATTATGCTTAATTCATCAGCATAAAAATGAAAATAAGGCAGATCAATATGAAAATCAATGCAGGAAAACATTTGAATATCTTTTGGATTTGTTACAATCATTTTGAAAACAGCATCCATATTGTGAAAATATTAAAAAGGTAAAATTAACCAATCAAATCTTTTATATTTTACCCAGGAGTAATTGCCAGATAGAAAGCAAAGCTATTTTGTTGCTTTCAATTTATTTCTAAATATTATTGTTCAATTTACATATAAGCAACTTTCTAATAAACTGCACAACTTCCCATTTATAGCAAATTAAGATTGACTATTCATTTTGAGTGTAATCTAATGATATTGTTAGTTTTTATTCTTGAATGAATCTAAGCACTTATATGCTAGATAAAGGGGACCCTATCCATTACAGCAATCTACTGAATTGTATTTGTAGTAGCAGTTGATACACCCACATAAAATCTCTTGCCTTGAGAAAATGTCATGAAGGATCTAGCCCAGTATCTGGTGGTCATATGATAAAGAACTACTTACCATAACTAGAGGAATTCCTCCTTTCACCTCCTCCCATTCACCTTCATCTTCATCCTCAATTATTTTATTTTTCTTCTTCTTATTCTTTTTCCTCTTATCATCCTTCTTCATTCCGTCAGTAGTGGTTCTGGAAGATATACATAAAATGTCAATGGATGCCAAGACAAACAAGTAAACTTTAAATTTATAAAACAAGATTTGAACGAACCAAACAAACTGAGATGTATTGTTTTTGCAAGAACTTTTCAGATCTTTTTTTACTTCTTAGTGAAGGGCTAAATTATTTGGCATCATTTCAAGAGGACTACTTGTTGAAATACTGAATGCAGCAACAGGGTTGTTATTGAGATAAAACCTCAGATTAAAAATATCCACATAAAAGTGAAATATTGAATAAAAATTGAACCTAAGAATAATAAACACCTTAGATATTTTAAGAATGTAATAAAAGAGTTTAACAATTAAAAATATTTAATATTAGGTAAACAAAGTATTACCTATTTTCAGTATATTTTATATGACTTTTCCTAATAAAGATATGTTAAAAGAAGGCATAATATATATATATATATATATATATATATATATATATATATATATATATATATAGAGAGAGAGAGAGATCTGAATAATGTTTTGATACCACAGAATAAATAGACCAACTTAAATAAACACAATTTTGTGTTCATTTTTTTTTCTTTTAAGGACCTAGGTAACCTTTCAGCCAGCACTTCCTCAGGGACCAATTGTTGACAAAATTAACTTAAATGGATTTGATCTGCAGATATGTGGAAATTGGAGATAAAGTTGAAACACGTCTAAGACAATTTACATTTAAGATAAATCCATAAATTTAATGACAAGTTGTAAATGAACCAACAAAAGAGCATAAAATAGAAAAAGAGTTGCTCACTGACCTCCAAATAAGTAAAGGGACCGTAAATAGTTTTCCTTTTGCTTGCAAAGAGATGGCTGCTACAGTTTGAGACAAATGGTGCCTAATATTTGTAGATGGTACTTAGATCTTCCCATATGCAAAATAGAGAATGAATCAGTCATGAAGAACGCCAAGCAACTCTCATTCATGTACAGACTGTGATGCACGACAATGATTACTTAAATGTAATCTCACAAACTTTGGAATGTGTTTGTCCAATCTTGTTTCCAATCTAAGACTAGTCTGTCCTATATACTCAGTTTTGTACTGACACTTGAACTTTTAGATTAATGAACTCTTACTAAGACAGACGGTCTTTGGTAAAGAAAGGAAACACTGGACGGGTACCAAAAACACTTAATTTGGCTGAAAAAAAGTAAAAGAGGCCGACTTGGAAATTATGTTGGTTAGAATTTTATACTTTCCACCAAACCAAGGGAATTTCAGATAAATCGGACAGAAATTAGGGCTGAATTCAGCAGAACTACCGAAATTTTCTAACTTGCGTTCTATTGCACGATTAATAATGTTGTCTTATCAATAAGAATAGAATGCCTTTTGTTTAACTCTTGCAGAAAAGTAGCAGAAGAGCAGATCATTAAGGCCCAATGAACTAAAAGTTACCTAGGTCCTCAGAAAAAAAAAAAAAAAACACCAAATTGTGTTAAGTCTCTCTCTCTCACACTTATATATATATATATATATATATATATATATATATTATATATATATACACACACACACACACACACAAAAATAAGAGAAAAGAGAGGTTGTAAACGTTTTTCGTTATGTGGGTTTTTTTAAAAATATATATATTATGCTTTATTTTTTGCTACACTAGTTTCAGGTTTTGTGAACTTCATCAGGCAAAAAAATCATTATTTTTACATATCATTTAAAGGAATTAATTTTTCCCTTTTTTTCTTATGTTTAAACATTGTCTTCTGTGTGTGGTAGTAATCCAAGTTCTTCTCGGACAAGTGGAGAAAATGTTCCTCTGCTTAAGGAGTAATAAAACAATTAAGACTGGTTAGAGAAAGGGGGAAGGAAGGAGGTCTTTGTTCTTATCTTTATATGACTTCGTATCTTTTTAAAACTATCTCCATTTTTGTGTATTGTCTGTGTGTTTATGCTAGTATGTGTATACATATTCCTTCTCCATACATACATACATATTGTTTTATTACAAAGAAATAGTATATTATAGTATATAGAGATATGAACACTGATGTTGAAATAAATCGATGCTTTTTTCATTGCTCATAGAAAGTAATGTCATATTTTTTAAAAAGTCTTGATTGTTTTTAATTAGCCATTATTCTTATATTTTTCTGTGCTTATTATAATATTTGCTATGTTATTATGCATTTATAGTATTTAATGTAAATATTTTATAATCTTTTGTGCATAATTGTTTATTTTTAAGTTGTGGTATACAACGATTTTTATTTTATTTTAAAATAATTGTTGTTTAGCAAATGTAATTTATTAAGAATATATCACTAAATGTTAATAAATACAAAAATAAATAAATAAATAAATATATATATATATATATATATATATATATATATATATATATATATATATATTAAGAACATTAATGCATTATATTTGTTAAATTAATTATATAGTGGAATGAATAATTCGAATCTATTTATATTTAAGCGTAACATTTCTAGTTTTTTTTTTTTTGAAAGTGGTCGTAATTTTCAAAACTGGATGAAGGCATTTAGAGTTGTAATGTTTATTTTTGACTACTGGCTCATTATCGCAGGTTTCTTTATCTATTATTATCATCACAAAAAGAGTGGATAATGATTGATTACATTATCACCAAGAAACAAGATGCGAAAGACTTCACTATCACCACAACACTTGCTATCTTTCAAACCATGCACTACTACACAGCAAAGCATCCTTTCAACTTGTATGCAAAAGACTTCTTGCTAGCATTATGGTTCCTAAATGAATCAACATCTCACCCCTGAATTCTGATGTTAAGAAAAAAGAACTCCGACATACTGGACATCTCATCGAGAACATGCACGTTTCATACAAAATATTCATAAACAACAAAAATTGTCCATCAAAAAAACATATATAAACAGTGCAAGCAGGAAGCGCAAATTGTTTTCAGAAAAATGAAATAGTCCTGGTGGTCTGCTACCAACAGAAAAGATTCCAAAACATTCTATAAAGGTCTTAAAAAGGTGTACAGCCCACAAGAAAGTTGAATTTCACCTGTTCTGTCATCTGACAGTAACACACTCCACACAGACAAGAAGGAAATTATATCATGATGGAAAGAACACTTTGAAAGTATTCTTAATTCCACTGCTGCCATCAATGAAAATATCATTGCCTCAATTCATCAGTGATCAAGAATTTCCTAGTTGTCTCTTGAGCCATGCCTAAAGGAAGTCCAGGATTCTATCAAGCAATTGTCCTTGAACAAAGCCCCTGGAAAAGATGCTATTCCCCCCACCCCCAAAATTCTTAAATATGTTGGTTATGAAACTCCTTGAGCTTTTTAAAGTCATATGGAAGGTTGGTTCTGTTCCACAGGACTACAAAGATGCTTGTTCAAGAACAAAGGCAAAAAGGTTGTATGTGACAATTCCCATGGCATTTCAGTATCACTGGCAAAATTCCCACTCAGGTTATTCTCAACAGAATAATCAAATATCTCATTGACGACATCTATGGCTTTTGATCAGGTCAGGAAACCATCGATATGATTTTTTCCCTTTGTCGTGTTGCTGAGAAATTCATGAGAAGAATCATGATCTCTATACCGTCTTTATTGATCTGATGAAAGCGTTTGACTGTAAACAGGGGTGTCCTCTGGAAAGTACTAAAAAGGCTTGGCATATCTGTCAGTATGCTAAATGTCATCATCTCTTTTCATGAAGGAATGAAAGCATCTGTTCTATCTAATGGAGTTTTCAGAAGCCTTCGATGTAACAAATAGCACAAAACAAGGTTGTGTCATGGCTCCTGTACTTTTTGCTCTCTTCTTTTTGGTCATGCTACATCATGTTTTTAGTTATCTTAACATGGGTGTGAAAATGGAATTCCACACAAGTGGCATCTTTAACCATCAATGTTTTAAAACAAAAATCGCTGACTTGAGCAAGCATTATTCATGATCTTTTTTTGATGAAGATGCTGTGATCGTGACCACCTCAATCGAAAAAGCTCAAGCACTTGTCAGTCATTTTTCCATCGCTTGCAATGCATTCAGACTAACTAACCAAGACTTAGACCTAAGCAGGTCAAGAGTGTAAAAGAAAAACCATCTGCCCATACCAATCATTCCCATTACTGATGGCAACAACAACATGAAGTATGTTAGGAAGCAAAGTCAATCCAAGTGCCTTAATCTTAATCAGTGTCTATTGAGCAGTCATTCTCACCACACTTCTTTATGGGTCAGAATCATGGACACCATACAGGACACACATCAATCAACGTGATACTTTTCATAAATGCTGCCTTCATTCATGTGGCTATACATGGCAGGACAAAATCTCTAACCCTGATCTTTTTATAAAATATGGTACTGGTGGTACTGAATCCTTTCTGATGCAATCACAGTTCAAATGGGCTGGTAATGTCATCAGAATGAGTGATGATCGGATGCCAAAATGTATAGCCAACTTTTTCATGGTAAGCGTAATGTAGGCTGTCCTTGGTTACGCTTCAAGGACAAACTCAAATACAATTTAAATGGTGCAAACATCCCTATAGAGGAGTTTGCACTCAGTGTTGAAAACCAAGCAAACTGGAGAAACACCTGCCACTGAGGTACAACTAATTTTGAAAAGAATCGTCTCAACCATCTGGGAGTATTAAGAACCAACATTAAATCTCAGGCCAATATATCAGCCCATATGATGGTCAACCTTTCAGCATGTCTCAACTTACTTGCAAATCCTGTGTAGGATTGTTGTCTCATATGAGACTAACATAAAAACTGAACTAAGACAATCATACGTTGAAAACGATGGGAGAGTCCATTGCTATCATATTATATATATATATATATATATATATATATATATATATATATACATACACACACACACACGTTTGCGGCTTCTCTTTAGAATATACACTTTTCTCTTGTTGAAATAACTATAATCCCTCCCATATATACACACACAAAAAAACAAACCTCCCAACAATGAACTAATAGGGGGAAAGGGTGGTTCTTCAAAGCAGATTGTCTGTAAATGGGAAGGGATTATTTTTGAGTTATAAAACCATTAGAGTAAGTACCAGCTGTTATGAACATAATGTAAATACTATAAACATGCATATATGGCATAAATAAATATCTACACACACACACACACATATATATATATATATATATATATGAAAGTGCTCAATATCAGTATATTCAGTTTTACGGATGAGTTTGTGACCCTGGGTTTCACGCTTTTGCGATCATCAGACAAATTATATATATATATACACACACACACACAGTATATATATATGCTGTATATACAGTAGGCTCATTCCGTGTCAAATCAACAAGTGGTTAGACCATGTCCGACACGGATTTTTTTCAAATTTGCTACACTTATAGATCTCCATGAAAGGAATTGAATGGCACCTGTTATGGATCTCAAGGTCAAGGGGTTCTTGAGATATGACCTCTGACCTTTTTACAAAAATGTGAATAGTGACCAACTTTAAAAGATGATATCTCAGTTGTTTATGGACCTACAAAGTTCATTCATATATCATTCTAAAGTACTTGGATAGATCTACAATTTTATCTGGGGATTTTTTTTTTTTTTTTTTTCAAATAAAAAGTTGACCTTGACCTTTGATCTGACTTATCTCAAAAAACGTTATTTTAATTTTTTTAAAATTTTGACAAAAGATTTGTCTATCTTATGACAGTATATATTCCAAATTTCATGATGGGCATTCCACTAGAACTGTTGTTACAAGTGTTTTATAGGACTGGGCAAAATTCAAAATGGCGGAATGTAGTATCTGCTACTTCATATAAAAGCATTTTGATATTTCACAATATGGTCAAGTTGTATATCTTTGTAAAGCTATTTTAATGCTGATTAATATTCACATAAGGACCATGGTCATGAAATCAATAAAAGAAATTTTCTGGTGATGAAACTTAATTTTCTTCATTTTTTTTTTAATGCAACACAGATTTTGTCATGGAAAAAGTGATATAATAAAGAAAGAATTCTGAAAAGTGTTAAGCTTTAATTAAATTATAGCATAAAAAATATGTGACCTCAATGGTGAACAAATTTTGGTTGATGTTTGATATTCTAAATCTACAAAAATAAAGCAATTTCCGTTGTTTATGGTTACTTTTTTTTTAATGAAAAACTGTAAAAATGAATGTTCTAAAAAATTCTTGACATGTTGAGTTTTATGCAAGTTCTGGTTGTGAAATCAAAGTAATTCTTTTCTGGAGATCAAACTGTTTTTAGCATTCCTTTCATACTTTTTCTTATACAATACAGATTTTGATACGGAAAAAGTGATGTAATAAAGAAAGAATTCTAAAAAGTGTGTCAAGATTTAATTAGGTTATAGTATCAAAAGAATAAATGACATTTGATGTTAATGGTAAACAGTTTCTTTGACTTTTGACATGATACACTATATCCACAAGAAATCAATCTGTGTTCATTGGGATACATTTCAAAATGGAAAATGAAAAATCTGTTTCACTGAAACTTTTTTATAATAATGAACTTTAATGTATTTTAGATTTTTCTTTCAAAATCTTTCTTTCTAAAATATTTGATGCATTTTTCATCTCATTTTTTGAAAGTTTATAAGTTCTTCCTGTTTCGGTTATTGGATCAACTGAGCTAAGAATATCAGAATATTTCAAAATTGATATATTTGAATGTGATGGATAATAGAAAGATGGAGAGGGTCCATTTGGTTGTAAAAATGTCAATTTCACCTCTCCATTATCTGGATATTTTTCAAGTACACATCCTAACCACAAATTCCTATCATGAAGTGTTGTCACAAATCCGTTAATGTCTTCAAACTCCATATTGTTTAGTTTTGTGATTCAAACTATCCTTCCTTTATTTTGTGTTGACACTATTTTTACTTCCAATTCCCTCTGAGAGACAGGAATGAAAGTATGTCATTTCTGTGTTCCTATAATAGTGGATGAATTGCTAAATCTATCTTCTAAGATGTTTGCTTCATTCGTCCATTCTGCAGTTGAGGAATATAAGAAATGTATTCTGGAAATATTTTTTTTCACATAAAAATACAGCTGTCTTGGCGTCATGATTTGTTCATTATAGGGTCGCTGCAGGCTAGCTTTTGCTGCTAACCTTTTAACAGTGCCACCTAACCCATCACATGGTCCTTTCCCATGAGAAGTAGCAAAAAAGTGCCACTGTGCATCAATACCAAAATCAGATTTATGGTTGCACAAATTTATAAAGTTTTTAAAATTTTTATAGTGTGAAACAGCACCATCAGAGAAATATATCATTTTTTGGACATCAAAATCAAAAATTTCTTTTAATTTTTCTATAAGCTTTCTTTGAAACAAATGGACAGCTACTGTGTCATGCTTGAGACAATCAGATATTATTACAAAATTAATATGCTCAAGGTCAATTCTATTTTTATAGTAGCAGATGAATGGATGCAATGTAGCTTGATCATTATTCCAGTGGAAGCCTGAGCCATATCTTGCAAAATAAATGAATAATTCTCATCAAAATCTGCTATTGCTAAGACTTCATCAACCTTCAAAGAACCTTTTCTATCAGAACAAAATTTTGATTGTGCTTTGGCAATGAAATTATGCTTCTTCAATGTTTGAAGGCCTGCATGGAAAGTTTCAATAAATTCCTCTGTGGACTGTGATAGTTTGTAAAGTGGATCTATCAGTTGATAACCACTGTATACAAAATCATCAACTGAATTTTTGTAAAAAATTTCTTCCATATACAAAACAAAATCATCCATCAGTTTGCTGCAAGTTGAGCAGTCACCCAAGTAGCAACTTGCTGATGCTTCATTGCATGTAACAGCAAGTATGCATTGATGGTTATCTGTCAAATGATAATTTTCTCCTTCAGTCAGTTTACCAAGATGAGATCCTGAAATCATCAACTTCATATTCTGATGGATTGTGCAAATGCAGACAGTATGAGTCCCAGCACCACCTGCTAGCACACATTCTTTTGGTCTAAGCTCAGCGAATTTAGAGAAGCTTATTTTCTCCTGGTTCTTTGATTTGAATAATTCAAATGCCTCTTTCAAGTTACAGAGAACAAGATATTTTTGTTCCTGAACCCATTTCCCATCCTTTAAAACAGTCTTATAATCATTTTTTCCAGGCATCATTCTACTGACTTCTTCACTTTTATAAAACTGACTCACTTTATCAATCGTCTCTTGTGGGAATCTAGTTTTTCGTGTATTTGGCAAAGCTAAAATTCCTTACTCATTCACAAGTTTTTTTGCTTGTCTCGCCATGTACATTGTAGTGCCAAATTCTGTTTGTATTTTGCTTAGACTCCAGCTTTTTAGAAGTACAGTCAGAATTTGAATTTTTTGTGATCTTTTTTCACTCACAGCAAAATTCTCTTTCAAAGTTTTGGTGTTCTGCGCTATTTGATTCCTCATGAGAAATGTTTGATGAAATTATACTGATTCTATCAGATATTGCTCCTGTAAATTTTTTCTATATATTTCTATATATCACTTTTTCTAGGACAAAATCTGTATTGCATTAGAAAAAAAAATGAAGAAAATTAAGTTTCATCAACAGAAAATTTTTTTTATTGATTTCATGACCAGGGTCCTTATGTGAATATTAATCAGCATTAAAATAGCTTTACAAAGATATACAACTTGACCATATTGTGAAATATCAAAATGCTTTTATATGAAGTAGCAGATACTACATTCCGCCATTTTGAATTTTGCCCAGTCCTATAAAACACTTGTAACAACAGTTCTAGTGGAATGCCCATCATGAAATTTGGAATATATACTGTCATAAGATAGACAAATCTTTTGTCAAAATTTTAAAAAAATTAAAATAACGTTTTTTGAGATAAGTCAGATCAAAGGTCAAGGTCAACTTTTTATTTGACCTCTAAAAAAAAAAAAAAAAAAAAAAACAGATAAAATTGTAGATCTATCCAAGTACTTTAGAATGATATATGAATGAACTTTGTAGGTCCATAAACAACTGAGATATCATCTTTTAAAGTTGGTCACTATTCACATTTTTGTAAAAAAGGTCAGAGGTCATATCTCAGGAACCCCTTGACCTTGTAACAGGTGCCATTCAATTCCTTTCATGGAGATCTATAAGTGTAGCAAATTTCAAAAAAATCTGCATCGGACATGGTATTTGGTACTTAGGTTAGTATGCTTCCTTTTTAAATTTTCCTTCTGCTTCTATGCCATGATGAGGGCAGAACAATTAATATTAGTAAAAATAACAAAAATAATAGATTTCTCACAGCTACTTTCTCATGCATGTGCTAATGTATCGTACTTTACATACAGTACACCCACCTTTGTTTACAATTGAAAGGTCCACCACTGCCAATAAACGGTCACTTTCAGAACTAATACGACTCATTCTGCTAACCTGCAAATTTTGAAATACACCACCGATGATTGGAAGTTATTTTTTTTACATTTTGCCTGCAGATTTTGTCTGTTGATATTGAGTGGGAGTGGTCTGTAGAAGAGTTGTGTGTATATATATATATATATATATATATATATATATATATATAAAATTATTAGAAGGAATTCAAGTTCATGAGTAGAACTTGTTAAATATTTAACAAGTTCTACTCATGAACTTGAGATTCAATCAAGAATCTAGAATTATTCTAATAAATTAAGAAATAACCATGTTCTGTTTTGTACCCATTGATCTCTGGGAAAAAATCGTTAAAACAATGAGAAATTTCATCACTTAAACTATTTTTAAAAATTGTAAATTTTTCACTGATTGTTCTATAAATCTATGGTTAATTAACTTGTATTAGATTGGAAACAAGTGTCATGTATTGAGAATGTAAACTTACTTTTTCAAGAACATTGATGCCACATTACCACTGTCATAATCTCCATCAGATGAGGATTCACTGAGTTCACAATTAGACCAGTGCATGTCGTCATCGTCATCATCATCATCAGAAGAAGAACCCTGCAGAGAAAAACGTTTATTATCTGTATCTCATTGCTTTTGTTTTTTTTAAATTATTTTACCATAAACGAAAAAAACAAAAAAAAAAAAAAAACAACTTTTTTTTATATTTTACAATAATTGATAATTCCAAAATCTTTTTTGGAATTCAGAGTTTTCCTTCTTAAACTGTCATTCAAGACTAGAGACTTTAGTCTACACTACTATTAGCTGGTAGGAGAAGAAATGGATTCATGCCTTTCCCTAACGGTATTTGTACAAAAGTGAAAGCAAGAGATTAGCTTGGAATTTTATTATTCTGAGGCAACTGTATATCAGGAAACCAGTACATTTTATACAAGAGAGTCATTTGAGTTTTAGACATCCCTTCTGTATGATCAATTCTACATGAAGTAAAAATATTGACAGGAATTTAAAAGCCAAACATTTGTAACTAACATTTGAGACTAAGTCAGTATCAAAAAAAAAAAAAGTGACTACTACAATTAGTGTATGGAAGTTCAGAGTGACAACAACAGGGACAATGTTCAAAAAGCATCCAAAATAGAATGTAAGCTACAAGGAATTGAACTTGTACCAACCAAAATATAACACCACTGATAATTTGTTGATATCAATACAACATCCAACTACTGATACAATATGTATGAAGTCAATTATAGAGTACCTTCTTTCAATAACCTAAGTAGACAATGAGAAAAAACAAAGATAACACTTAAAGAAATCGTTTTTTTCTTAACCACAAAAAGATCAATATTAATGCACATTAAATCAGATTGTCTTCAAGTGTGTTTAACAGTGATCACCAATGTTGTATTGGATAAGAAATATTTTGCACAATTCTTAAAAATGACATATTTCAGCCACTTATGTGGATTCCAAAGTTACTATTAATTCAATGTTTTTTTTTGTTTGAATGGAGTTGCTGTTTAACAGGACAATTTATTCAAGAAGAGATTTATGCAAATCCATGTAAAAAGAATGTCTGCTGATGGTAAACAAAAGTTGGCTCCTGATGTTCATTTTAAGCTGAATCTATTGCATTAACATTTTGTTTTTTAAAACTTTCTTTATAAATGCAAAAGTTGAATTTATAATTAAGCAAATGAACATAAGTTCACATTTATTTTTTCACTATTAAAAAGAAACATCCCTCCCAAGGTATGGTTGCCATCTTTGGAAATCTCAATATTTCTGTCATTAATTACTAATCTCATATCAGTTGTAAAGGCATTCCAAAAATTTCATGATTATTAATCTATGTGATGCATACTTGGTCTGATTAAAATTCAAACACAATGAAATTTATTTACACCTCTTGAACCTAAATAGCTAAATGACAGCATTGCTTGATCCCTCTTGTTGGTACTCACCTCAGCCTTTCCCTCTGAATCCATAACTCCTTTTTTTAAGAAAGCACATTGTGTTACCATGTCATCATCACTTTCAGATTCAGACTTGTCTGGAAGGAAGAAAAAAAAAATAGTTTAAAATACTGATAACAAAAATGTTAACTTAAAAGAAAAGAAATCAGTTTATGAAAGTATAGTGCAAATTGAGATCTTAAAAAATACTGCACATATCTTAATGTATCCAATTTGATTTTCATGAATTTTCTAATGTTACAAAGAAAACTGGGAAAATTACATTATAAAAATTATATGTGCATAATAAAATCTGTTCTCTGTAAAAGATAATAAAAACACTTATTTTTTAATGCTCCCATAAATATAATAAATAATTATTGGGTTAAACTTATTTTGGTGTAATAAAATTAAGTATATTCTTTAATATTGTGCTATCTCAAGTTTACTTTTTAGAATTGCTTGTCAGCTATGGATCAGAACAACTTTATAATTTTACTTCAACAACCATTTAGTTTTAACTATGTGAATGTGCTTGTTTTTTTTAAAAAAGATTTGCCCCCCTCCCTCCAATAACCAAATAAAATCAGGGTCATTGCATTTTTAAGTGAATTTCAAAGATATTTACATATTTGTGCATTTGATCACATATGTCCGATTTTGTTCCAATACCTTTCACCACCTTTAAGGTGGCTTCATTATACCATTCTCCCAGAATTTGGTGTTATTCTAGATGACGAACTGGTCTAAGTGGTTTTTACAGGCTTCCAGAAAATTGAAGTTCTTCCTACCAAGAAAATTGTAGGGATCAAAATAAATGGAGGTGTATGGCAGCAGGACTAATTTCTGCTGGTTCTGCAAAGCAGACAATTGGCCAATTCTAGATGTTTTTCAGCAATTACTTAAGACTAATTGGTCCAATTAGGAAGAGCAGTTGTCCAATTTTGCAGAAAAAGCTCATAATACACAATAAGCTTCCAATCCTATCAGATATAAAGCATCACCTTTTTCAGATGCAGACAATTCTTTTTGGAGTAGTTAACAGTGGATAATTTAGTCCCTACCCTCCAAGACATTTCTTGCTGCACATTGTTGGAAACAATCCATTTTTCAGTATCATTCTTTTAAAAAATGGGTCGCTTTTGTTGTGTTTGAGCAGAAGGGAAATTTTTCTATTAAATCAGGAAACACCCAAACATTGCAGCAATTAATGTATCTAAATGTTTCCAAATGCCTTACAAAACTTGAGATATGTGGAGTATCTCTGCAATGTTCTACCATATGTTGTGTGACTGGGATTATTCTTAATCACTGTTTTGATTTCATCAACAACTACAGATCTTTTGAAATGTTCTCAGTCTTCCAAGTCAAACTTAAAAATTCACAATCCACACATGGCTTGTAGGTGCAAGGATTAACCTTTGACATTCTGTCAAAAGTGGCTTCTGGTCATGTCAAGTGGAGGAGTATGTGCATAAAAGACAATACGACTTTTGAGAGGTAATGCATTGTACATCTCTCCATATTACAAGGCAGAACATTAAACACCATAACATTTCTGCAGCCTTCTTTGTTCTGCTGTTCTTTGTCTTATGTGCAGATCTCAAACAGGCCTTAAAAGTTATTGAAGGCATAAACACAGTAGGGTATCAAGAGCAGAATATGTTGCTTTTGAAAAAAATGCCACTGATTGAAAAAGATTATAAAATTGTTCCAACCTGATATTTTCTCAAATTATTCTATATTGTAATGACTATATAGTAATGCATAAAAGTTTTAAATCTTGTTTCATACAAAAGAAACCAGATTTACAGACAACATATGGAATCCTTTTAATCATGTATTTTTATCTTTAGACAAATAACATTAAATAATGAAAGGAAGAAAATTTCCAAATAGCTTTAGCAATTCCTATGCAAAATATAAAATCAGAATAAATATAATTTACCTTCATCCGAACATTCCTCTACTTCTTCACCTTCGTCTGGATGCTGAAATTAATAAAAATTATTTTAGGTCATTAATAAATATATATTGGCATATATAACTACTTTTAGAACAAGGTTTTTATTTAAAATATCAGTGACTGAACACATTTATTACCAAAATCAAGTCATGATTCCAGAAAGCTTTTTCCAAAACAATTCTTTTTTTTAGCTAAAGTGTTTTCCAGTAAAATTAGAACATAACTTAGTGGGAGACAAAATCTGACTGCTAAACTTTGCTTATTTATGTGCACATGTTAAAACATCCATATTGTTTTTTACCTCAAATAATTAGAAAGAAAAAAAAATTATTTCAAAAATAGATAAAACTTAACATTAACCTGATGCAATAAATATCAGCTAGCATTATCACATGAAAATCATTTTACAAGTTTAGCAATAATCTGATTGTAATTTTAATTTGACTAATCAAAGAAAAACTATAATTTTATATGATGTAACAGTGTACAATCACAAGGATATATGGATAGTGTAGGACCATGTAAATTTGGTTGTTTACTATAGAAAACCAGCTTGCAGATAATATGAGGATATTTTTATTCCAAATTGCACTCCATATAAACATCAGGCAAAGCATGAACATAGAAATGTTCATGCTTTGCCAAGTTGTATTGGTCATATATGAGCTCTTTCTAGGAAACAATTTAGATACAAACTATAAAACTATATAAAGCCTACCTCTCAAGCTGAACTTTATAAAGAAAAAATCTGACTTGTGTTAAAGAATATAAAGAGAAGCTAACCAAACAACCCCAAAAGAACAAACAGTAAGACAGGTCATCAAGTCAGACATAATGGAACATTTGCAAAGAAAGATGCGACCCAAACAGAGAATGTTATGAAAGAAGCAGTTTATGAGTGTCAAAAGGCAGTATAAATCAGGTTTGTATAGGAGTTTAAGCATGTGACTACCACACTTCAGATATTATAAAATAAATTAAAATGATATTACTAGTATTTTGAAAACACCTGCTTACCGCTCTCTATATCATGTTCCCTATCAGTCTGTTGTATTCTGAGATTATATATATATATATATATATATATATATATATATATATATATATATATATATATATATATATATATATATGTGTGTGTGTGTATGTGTACATACACAAATGTAAAAATGCATCCATACATTTTTTTTTAAATAATATTTTTAGATTTATTTATTATACTTCATCATGTTTTATATGGAATAGCAGGTGTTTAATATACCTGGATTTGCCTAGAAATGAACTTTTATTTAGTAATTTATTTTGATTTTTAAAAGGAATTATTTCTTATTTTTCTTATAAACATAATTTGCAGTTATTGATATTGCAAAGAAACCTTTTTCATGACCCTACGCTCCTGATTTAACATTTGTAGAGAGATTTTTTTCTGCAGTCATATATATTTAGAAAAAGGTCTTATTTGCATATTTTCTATTCTCAAATGATAGTTTAGGATTGTAATATCTTTTTTCTGTAGCTCCTACATAAATTTTTTCTTCCATATTAATATTATTTGTTGCTACAATTTTATAAATTATACTGTGAATCAGACATTTATTATCAAGGACATTTTGCTTTATTTATTGCATGAAGTATTATTATTAAATTTATTGTTATTACTTGCAGTGTTAGTGCTACTATTGAAACTAATGTTGCATATAATATTATTATTAATTATTTCTGTTGTTTGTTTATCTTTTCTATATTTTTCATGCAATTGTAACTTAATATTACTTTCTGTTGATAATTTACTATTTTGGAAAACATGTTTATCAATAAACTTAAAAAAATATTTTCCCTATTTTTGTTTTATTGTTAAACTAAATTATATTCCTTTTTCTATTATTTTTATCATTACTCTTATGTTTTATATTGATATCCATTTTTTTTTTTTTAAAAAAAGGCCAATTCATTTTTATTGTCAAAAATTATCTAATTCTATTTGCTGAAAATCTCTTACTCAATGATAATGGTATTTGTTTAAAAACAGCTGAAAGATGATTAGAATATTTATTAATGTGTGCAGTTTTGTTTTCAGTATGGTTTACAAAGTTCCACTATTTAAATTAAAAGTTATATCCAAGAAATTTATTTTTGTGCTTTTATATTGATTGCAAATCCTCAATTTTTTAAATTCTTATTTTATGTCTTAGAAATAAATAGAATGCTGGTACTGCCTACAGGAAAATCTGACACTCAGTTTTATGGTAGGAAGTCCCTAGTACTAGATGAATTTCTTACCCAAAGAATGAAACAGCTGAAACAGTTTTACACAACTAGTAAAGATTAAGAACATTAGTCAAATTAAAATGTGAATTAATGATAATGACTTGTCTCAAAATTTAAGACATAATAATCTCCCTGGTCCTTTTCAGTACTTAATTACAACAACATCCAAAGGCAATGTTAATATGACAGATTAACATCACTCTTTAACTCACTTTGATTCTACATCTAATAGCTGCACCCTCTGCTTACCACTCCTTTTAATTGAAGGAGAGAACAGGCAAACCATGACACAGTAACTACCATCCTGAATACTGCACCACGAGTTCTGCTATGACACCCCTTTATCAAAATATTTAAAAGTTAATAATGCACTTATCAAAAACAAAGGAAGGAAGAGAACACAAAAAAATTTTGAAAGAAAAAAAAAAAAAAAAAAAAAAAAAAAAAAGAAGAGAATTCTTCACCAGGTGATTGTCATCAGAATAATTTTTTGAGGGGAGTGGGGATAAAAATGATTCTTTAATTCTATTAAAGATTCTGAAATCCAAAACAACAAGAATCCCACAAAGCTAGTTACCTCTCTATATTTCTTTATTTCGTTTTCATAATCCCTGTTGTGCCTTCGGAGACGTTGGCGAAGGGTTGTTAAACCACGAGCATTGTTCTTGCTCATTTGCTTCCGACCTTCTTTGTCATCCCAACACTGGTGGAGAAAAAAAAAAGAAAGAAGGATAATACATAAACAAGGAATAAAAATATGAGTGCCAATAAATGTTTTTCTTTGATTTTTATTGTCTTGTATTAGAAATGACAAAAATTTTGTCCGGAAAAAAAAAAAAGAAAACAAACAACCTCAATAGTTTTTAGAAATTTAACTTAAAAACTTAGGTAGAATAGGTAAAAAATAATCATAATGTAATCATTTTGCACTAATATCCAAGAATTATTATATAATGCAATCTTATTTTTACTCATAGATTTTCTTTTTTACAATTATTTTAATTGCACTATGTTTATAATTAACCTCAAAACTGCAACCCTTCACATCAAGATAAAACATTTAATAAAAGGAAAAAAAAAAATTAGTTGTAAACAAAATGAATAACTAATTCATACTTCAGTTACAAAGTCTTCCAGCTCCATCAAACAACGGATATAAAAGCTTGGAATACCCTCAGCATCAACAATCTTTTTAGCTTTTTCAAAAGCTTTGATAAGAATTTCAAAATCTGAAAGGAAAAAAAAAGTGTAAATGCTGTTTTCATCATTAAAAACATTATATTTAGAAACTTACTTTACAGAAATATATCTATGAAAAAAAAAAAGAAAAGAAGTTAGGTTTAAATACAGGTTTACATCACAACTTTCAAGTTTAACATTATTTTTAGGAAATTTAAATGAACTTCATATAGTTAACATTAAAATATTAAAGTGATGCTTATGAAAAGTAATTGTAGAGAGACTTCAATTTCTACTATCTTCATAACAGCAATGTAGGAATAAAAAAGGAAAGGAAAAAGTTCAAGATTTACACTAATAAAAATTTTGATCAATAAACCATTAATTATAGAATTTCAAATCAATAATTAAAGGTAGATTTAAACATGAAAAGGAAATGATCAAATAATTGTGATATTGTCTTTAAATATAAGAAAGGTTATTCACATTCCAAATGTAATTCCTTTGTGTCCCTGATGATGTTACAATCAATTCAACTTTCTTCAAGTGTGTAATAATAAAGAAGGGGGAGGGGTTGCATTTCATTATTTATATTAATTTTGTAAAGAACACCAGATGAAGGTAGAAGAATGGACAAGCTGAAATATCATAACAATCCAAAATAGTTCAATTCTGAAGTAACTTTTGTGCAAAAAGAGTAAAGCTGATACAAATAGCTTGGGAGATTAAAATAGCAGGATAATTTTGGGTTGTCAAAATATTTTTTGGTTATATCTAGATGACCTTTTCCCAATTTAAAAGTCTACATTTAATTTTTACCTTTTTTTAAGGGTTTGGGTACATCTACATTCAACTATTTTATTCTTACAGTATTTTAAAATAACAGATTGACATGGCGATCATCAGCTATATATGATGTTGAATTTTACAATTTGTTAATGGTTAACATTTTTTTTAAATAAAGATTTTTGTAAAATTGTTTTAAATCAGTAATTTAAAAAAAAAATCATTTGATTTAATTTGTGATGATTTAAATCAGACTTAAAATGAACAATCATGCTAAAAAAATAAAAAATTGAAAATAAATACAAACCATTTAATACATTTGACATGTCTTTTATCTTCTTGTGATTCTTTAAGAGGCGAATAATATCTTTCATTTCATCAAACCTAAGTAAATTTGAAAAAAACGAAAAAAAATCTTAGAAGATACAAAATGGCTATTTAACCTATTTTTTTCTTTTAAAAATACATGTTGAATTTTAATTTTACAGTCATTCATAGACAAGATTTGGAAATTCCTTTGGCAAATTGTACAATTTGTGACCAGAAATAATAATTTTTTTTTTTTTTTTAAAATAGTTTTGGTATTTCCTTGGGTAGAAATCATTCAATTTAGAATTTAGTTGGCATACATTCCTTTAGCATATCTTTCAAAAAAAAAAAAAAAAAGATGGAGCAAGACATGGTTGAACTCAGTAACATAGAATGAATCATTGAGTTCACACATGAGAATGAAATAAACAAAACTACTTAGCATCCTATTAATATGAAACAAGAACAGAACAAATTACATTAGATAAAATTTACTGTAAATTTACAAACAAAATTGATTTAATCAATTATTATATCCACCATAGCACCCCCGCAAAATGAAATCAGGACTAATCAGTTTTTTACATCAGAACCCTTAGAATATGCAACCCAGAAAAAAGGGTGAACAGAAATACATTGAAAAAATGTTTAGACTCCTTCCCTACCCATATCATTTCATCTTCAATGCTAGGAAACAAGCAGACAAAGTCCACAAGTCCCAAAAAAATAGATACCATCTCGAAGATGATCAGAGATATAATTAGCAAGAAACATAAATCCAATGCCACATCAGATACTGGAATTTATAATTTATTTATAAATGCCTGCAATGCCAGAAGAATTATATAAGCAAAACCTCCAGAAATGTAAAAGCCCACATCATAAGAGAGACCTATTTTGGGACAATCCTTTGAACTCACTCATAACACAGAAATAAAATAGGTTATAACTAATTTAATAATAAGAATTGAACATAATTACATAGAAAATAGATTTAAATAAGTGATAAAAAAAAAAAAAAAAAAAAATCATGTTTTAATTTGTGATGATTTAAATTGAACAATCCTGCTGTAAAACAATAAAATTTATTTAGGTATTGCCTTGGGCAGAAATCATTAAATTTAGTATCCTGACAAATATCTTCCCATCAATAAATACATGCTAAACACACTTTATAATATCACCAACATTTTTAAAATCCATACTTAAAGAATCTAAGACCAGACAGCTAAACCAGTGTAACCTAAATTCTTTCACTCTCATGCAAAAACATCCCACAACCAACATATGGACACTACCAAACAGAAATAAAATGCTCACCAGATGCACACATCATCACTCAAATTCAACATAGATCAACTAGAATCATGATACATAAATACAAAGAAAAGAAAAAAGAGAAACATGTTAAATTTATAAACGTTTCCTATTTGTTTCTTATCCTATCAGATTCTAATCCATATTTGATATATGTGTGTGTGTGTATGAGAATATGACTTTAAATTCAGCAGTAGATCTTTAATAAAACAAGATACCAAGGAAAACGTTTTTTAATTTTTAAAAGAATGCTTTTATTAAAATAGCTGGATGTGCAGAAAATGCACATTTTAAAATTTTTATTTGGTTGTTTTGTTTAAGCAATTTATAATTTTGTATAAAACAGCATAGCGTAAATGAAAAATGCCACAAACTTAAAGAAAAAAAAAACTTATCGTCAAAATGTTTATGTTATTATTAAGATGAAAGAAAAAAGTATTTTTAATTATTTTTAAAATTTTAATATTTTCTAACACGTTCGAAATTTTGGTTAAAATCTTTTTTGTTTACGTCATCGCGGTGGCTTAAAATAACATTGTTTTTTTTTTTTTTTTTTTTTCCATTGAAAACACATTGATTTGGAAATTCTTGTAAAAATCAAATAATTGTCCGATTTTAATGAAATTTTCAGGACTTATTCACAAATGAATGAAATTATTTTTGAAAATTTTGTTTTTTTTAAAAATTTTTTAAAAAATATTTTTTTTTAAATATGTTACTTACTTAATTTCATGAAATTTCAATAAAACCTTTTTATTTCCTTTAATTTTTTTTTTAAAAGTAGGAGTCCTTGGAGATTGTAAATCACCTACATTTTTTTTTTTTTTTTTTGGGCTATTTGAGATACTAACTGAAAATCTTGTCTGAATTGAAAAATAATGAATCCAATAAAACTATGACATTATTTAATTAGAAAAGATTTTAATTGCTTTTTGTAAATAAGTTATATTAAGGACATTATTGTCTGAAGAAATAAAAATTTTTTGATGAATAATGAATTTTTACAAGAATTTTTTCATTTTTTTTTTAAATTTTAATTATAATAATTTATGATAGTTTAAAATCGTGTAAAATTCTGTATTAGGGGGCTATTTCCTGGATGTGATATAGTAATTAAGTGGAAAAAATTTATAAATCCAAAAAAAAAGATTAATAAACTTAGTTGAGTTATTGTATTTTTAAAAAATAATTTTTTATTTTGTATTTTTTTTACTTAATACGTTCCTTATTTTCATGTATGGTAGACTGAAATTGCCATTATTATGATCTAAAAAGTTTTATCCTTTTATTAGGTCGTTTCAATTACGTTTCAACAGGTTTTCAAAATTTCCATTCAGCTTTAAAAGTTTAAAACTTAAACTAAGTTTTACTTTTTTGTCATTACTGTTTCGCTAAATATTATTATTTTTATGTATTTACATTAGTGTGGGTCATACATTTGAATAATCATTTTATTTCATTTTTATTAAATTATAAAATTAATTGAAGAAAAATTTATAGTATTTTATTTTTGTTATTTTTGCATCTTCGAAAGGTAAATAAAAGTGAATAAAATATTTAATTGTGGAAAATATGTTCATTTGTAAAAATTACTAGGTAGTTAAAAAATTAAAAAAAATGCGTTTACTTAGATTTCTGAAAATTATGTCAATTAGATTCATCCATAGTAGCTGTCATCGTTCGTCAATTAGCAGTCCATCAAACCTTGATCAGATGAACAGGACCAATCATTAATAATTGTTTGTATATTACTTTTTATGCTATAAGTAAGTAATATTTATTTCAAATCAGATTAATTTAACTTTAAATTTTCTAATTTTACTAAAATAACGTGTCAGAAATATATATAAATATTTTTTTAAAAAATTTTAAACTTTTTTGTTTACAAATTTCTTAAAATTAAGAAAATGACCGCTTTTAAGAATATTTTAAAAATCGAAATTAAATTTGACATGCCAATCTATATAATTCCTATCTGAAATACACCAGAATATTTTACTTAATGAAAATAATAAATTTAATCATTTACCTTTCAATTAAAACGAAAATGAAATCTTCAAGAAAGCTTTTTCATTTTTAAAATATAATTTTAAACCTTAGGTATCGAAAATTTATGCCGAAAAAGCGGAGGTTCCTAGCTTTCATCCAATACCATTGTGATCAGAGAAACTGTTTGATATTATGCACTTAAGAAGATTGAATTGAAATATACTCAGGATAATATAAGTGAAATTCATCATAATGATGAACATTGTGAAAACTTTGTCTGAGAAATATTGGTAGACACTGAACAATTATGTAACTCAGGCCGTCCTTCCAGATAAAAGAATTAGGGAAGAGCAAATAAACCTTAAAATGACCTATTTCAAAACAGTTTATAATATTTGAAGGAACGATTTGCTCTCATCTTTATGAATTTTTAAATTTGGAATTACTTGATGTAAAGACGTTCTTCGGGTGGTCAATAAAATAATTTTCATTTCGCCAGATGTACAAAGGTCTGAAATAAATAATTTAATAGTATTTCACATGCGTTTGTTATTGCCGGACAATTTCTTCAGGTACAACAGCAGCCGTCAAACACTACCGAGAGAAGGCAGTAGCGAGCTGCCATACTTTAATACTTTTTGTAGTTTTTTTGTCTGAACGCTTCTTTGACTTTGAAAATAAACTTAGGCGACACAGAATAAAATTTAATTAATGGTCAACGAATTGAACGGCTGAATGGAACCACACAGAATATTTGAAATATTATTATTTTACACATTTTAAATGATATTCATGTCTGTCTTGTACTTATAGTTGCGATTCATGTACTTTAATCTACTTATGTACTTTATTCTGCGAATGAATGTCAAAACTACAGAGATATAACAAGAGAACATAAAGGAGTCGTTCATCCTACAATTACAAATCATTTGCACATGATTTATTTGGTGAAAGATTAGGCACTCAGCAAAAAAGAGCAGGCAACAAATTAATATTCGTTTTTGGGTTCGGTTTTGTAAATTTTTATGAATTTAAAAATTGTATATATTCTTTAAACTTAGACGTAAACGTCTACAACAAAGAGGAAATGACTCACAGCAGTGAACAAATGTGCAGCGATTAAAATCCATACTGAGTTTAGTTGATTGAAGTTTTAGCACTAATGCTCAGTGAAAGTCAATTAGAGTCTCAGGTATCAGGTAGTTTCTAGACAATTTGTTCATAAACAAATATCGATCAGTTTGCTGAACACTTGTAAAGAGCAGTATAATTTCAAAGGCAATATATAATGAATGTTTGTGCATACGTCAGTTGTTGGGCAATAATGATTGTAAATTGTTATACGAGTTAATTGTGCCTTTTTCGGACTTGAAAACTTTGGACATTTATAACGAGTAAAAAAAAAAACCTTATGAATCACCAGTTTTTTTTTGAGTATTATTGAAATAATGGTGATCAAAGTATAATGTTTGAATTTCAAATTTGAACGCTTCATTATCCTCGGCCACGATAAAAAGCGATAAAATCTAAATTAATTCATACTTGAAGAAAAAAATCATTTTTCTCTTAATTATTTTACACATTCAATTCTTTGCGCACATTACCTTTGTTTCGACTCCTGTTTGTCTTTTTTATTAATATGAGGCATAAAGAATTATAAAACAATGTATACTTGTTATAATGACATAAATACAAGTAGGTGTATTGTTTT